ATAATAATAATCACTCAAACATCTAGTGAAAATTAACAGTAGTATTAATTTTTATCATGTTTTGAGATTTTGGACTATATTATCTTCATTGTTACAACACATTTCATAATATTCTTATCATAACTTTGAAATATGTAGTCTATGTCTTTCTAAATATATGTATGCATATACATATGTCTTTTCCTTACTAAGAAACTGGACAAGTTTTTAATCAATTCGGGGATGGATTTCAGAGCCCATTTGAAATAATATGATTAGAGAGCAGTCAGGTTTATAAATAAAAATGAAAAAAATAAAACCTAGTTATTTAGAGAAAATGATTCTAATATAGTCTTTATTAGGTCAAAAACAGTACTGGTATTACAGGTCCAAGATTAAATAGCCACTTACTCATCTTTTATGTTTCTAGGCATTTTGCATGCGTTACGTATTTCAGTCCTGACAACTGCCTCAGAAGATTTACAAATGATACTGTATCATTACCATCTTTCCAACAATACCCATGGGAAATAACTTGTTCTTTATTCTTCCATTCCACTTGAGGCAGAACCAGCCCCACTCCCGGTTTTATGGGTAGCCCTGGTATAAACCATCTGCATTTTTCCTCCCTGACCATAGTTGCAGACAAATAACATATCAGGAGTACTGAGTCAGCTGGGAAAGAAGGGTTTGTACTGTAGATACATAGCTAGATTTAGACAAAAGAGGATATTCAAGTCAGGGGAGAGAGAGAGACAGAGAGAGAGAGAGAGAGAGAGAGAGAGAGAGAGAGAGAGAGACCCAGATTACTGATCCTTTATTAACTCCTGAATTCAACCAGAACTACAGAAAAACCCTCTTTCTTGTACTCATTCATGAACCTCACTATCAGAGAATTCCCATGCTTGTGTCTGCCAGTTCAAATTGAGGATTTTTTAAAAGTTGAAGTTAAATACATCCACAGGTTTCTGAGTATCACCAACCCTCTGATAGATAAATAGACAATATATTTATAAGTTAGATCATTAATTTATTTGGAGGAACAGAAATTGGAACACACAACATTGACTCTGCAATCTAGGTTCTTTCTCTAATGTCAGATGCTATCTCCTCCTTCAGTACACTTCACCATCTGTTTCTACCTGAAATCATTGTCATAAAAATGTAACTTTTCCAAATCTTTTCAGCAATACATTCACTATAACTTTAGAACATAGTGAAAGGTCTTCCTTTTTAACTTGGATCCCAAGGTGACAAGATTAATATGCATTGGTTGGAAGTGGGCCCAAAGAAATTGGCTGAAATATTCATGGGAACCTGCTTTTCTCTGTCCAATAACTTGAGTGCACCAGTCTCAGAGCTGGTGTTTGAATAGTCATAGAGAAGTATCCCCTATTCCTTGGGGATGGGAAGCAAATCTATTCTGAGGCACTTCAGCTGTTAAAAGGCCCTTTGCTTTCCAAGCTAGTTGGTTTGTAGGGGTTTCTTGCTCTGAACTCTTTAGAGTAAAAATCTCACCTGTCTATAAGGATTAGTATGAGATTAACTGTAAGTAACAAATGTAAGTTTGAGCATTTCCCCTCATAAATTAGATTAATAATTAATTGTAAAAACTAATAATCTTAAGAACCATGAGACCAAGTACCTGTTTTATAACAGATTTGCTTATATATTTTGGAGTTGCTGTGATCAAATCCAGGGCCCTGGGCATGATATACAGTTTCTCTACCATTGAGTTATATCCTCAGACTACGCTCTTGCACATTTTAATGTTTTTAGATAAAATCTTGTTCAGAAATGCAATACTGACAAGTCAAGTATATGCCAAACATTTACTTCTACAGTTCAAATCTTTTATAAATTTAAACCTATCTGCATATTTAAACACATTTTTCATGACCCAGCTGGCAAACTATAGTAACACAGAGTACAAACAAATTGGACATTGATATGTAATTAACATTAAATCATCACTCATTATCTTGTGATAATATACCATGACATTTGCCACTGCTTTAATGAGTTAAAAGGCTTTAGGGCCTGATTTTTATTCAATTTGCATTGAGGTTATTATTCCTATATTCTGAAATGTTTGGCATTCAACCCACATTGTTATATCCTGGTAAAGTTAGGTATTTTATTTCACACCGTAGCAAAAAGAGTTTCTTGCCATTATTAGTGTACATAATTTAAGTTAATGGTGGTAAAAACTACCAATGAAGAAGTTCTCTTTCCTATTCTGTATGCTGTCATGGCCATAGAACAAACACTAAACTATTTGTTGATGTGCTAGAGACTTACACAAATATCTCCATCATCTTCTCCAGCCAATATGCTTGTCTACTTTCTGTGGCTTTCAAATCCCCAACTCTGGGCAGATGCCAGTGGTTCATGTCTGTAATCCTAGCTACTCAAGAGGCTGAGACCTGAGGATCTTAGTTTAAAATGAGCCTGAGCAATAAAGCCTGTGAGACTCTTATATACAGTTAACTACCAAAAATGCCAGAAGTAAAGCTGTGTCTCACATAGGAGAGTGCCAGCCTTAAACATAAAAGATTGAGGGCAGTGTCTCAGCCTTGAGTTCAAGCTCTATGACCAGCATATACACACATGCACTCTCTCTCACACACACACATAACACACACACACACACACACACAGACGCACACACACTCACAAACACACATATTCAACTGTGATATAGAGACATTGATTATGCCTTCTACTTCATGAAAACACATCAGTGTTGTGGTGTTGTCAATTTCCTCATTCAAACTATAGAAAAACATCACATCCATCTAGATAAGTACCACACAAGAAGAAAGCAGGAGTCATCACAGTCATGTAGACAATACTGGCTAGGTGGGGTAAAGTCCAATCTGTTTATAAGCAATAGGGGTACTCTAAATGAAGAGGAGCCCAAAATAATAGCAACAAGTGTCTAAAAATGTGTGTACATATGTGTATGTGTATGTACTTTTGTGTTTTGTGTAGGTCCTAGAGATTGAACTCAAAGCCTAGACTCTCTCTCTCAGAACACTAGTGCTCTATCACTTGAACCACAGCTCCACTTCCAACTTTTTGGTAGTTAATTAGACATAAGAGTCTAATGGGCTTTCTTGGCCAGTCTGGCTTCAAATTACATCCTAAGATCTGAAACTCCTGAGTAACTAGGATTAAACACATGAGCCACTGGCATGCTTGTTTTTAATGATCATCACTAACAAGTAATTCTAAGCTTTGTAAAAGATAAAACATTTGTCAATCAATAAATCTTTTGTTGGTCTACATTTCAACAGATACTAATCTTTATACTGCTAACTTTCAATAATATATATGTTGACTTCAAACCACAATAATATATGGCTTGACATTGCTAACAAATATGATAATTTCTGTGAATGAAATTGAACTCAGATAACTCCAGGTATCTTGTGCCCTCCTAAACATGTACGATGTAATATGTATTTGTTTTCGAGAGTGAGAGCTCAGCTTCTGACTTTTCATTTATGTAATTTCTTTAATGTCATGGTTGAAACTTGAATCTCACTGAACACATACATAGCTATAGGACAAGGGTTTGAAGATGCAACTTGTACACTTATGCAACTTATGCAAGTTCAAGCTTTGGAAGCTTCCTTCAGTTTTTAAAAGAAGAGAAATCCATGATGAATTTTGTGGTGAAAGATATTCTGTTAGAATTATTTTAATTACAAAGAGAGTTGGAAGTCACTAGAATAGACTGAAAAAAATCAGGACATTATTATGAAATACAATTCAAGAAAAATAAATTCCTGAACTTTATTATAAAATAGATTTCTTACATATGTGTACCAAAGATATTCTTATGTTTAAAATATTTCATAAATATTTGCATATCAATACCTTTATATAGAAACAGATTTAATTTAAAATGAATAAAATGTGTTCTCGGTTCAATATAAAAGAGGATAGATTGGAAAATATGATTTAGATTCTCTTTTGAACAAAAACCTGTATAGAAAATCAATTTTGATGAATTCATTGACATATTTGCAAAAATAGAGACATTAGGACCAGAAATTTTAATGTCATTATTATTGAAATATAGCAATATGTTGGTATCCTTTCTCACAAAAATAAATTAATTAACTACTGTATTTTGTGTTCTCTTTTCTGGAACTTTAAAAAAATACAATTTTGTTAGCATGATTATATACAGAATATTCAATGGCAGAAAATTTCCCAATCAATGTTTATACTGTTTTTCATTTCAAATCATGTTTACTATTGAATATAAACCATACACAGGAAGGAGGTTTGTCCTAGAAGACAGGTATTCTGATATTTAATTCTGTGCCTACTATACTGTTGGTTATGGGGAAGAAGTAGAGAAAAGAGATGAATTGTCACTGCAAGTCATACTCTTCTGGTAGTGGGAGATTAGTCAGGAAATTACTTTGGAAATACAAATACAACAAAATGTGGATACAAAATATGTGCAGAATCCTAACAATCATTTCTGTTCTCCATAACATGTATGGTTCTACAGTATGGAAGCTTCAAGTCATATGTATAAAAGTGTTAATGGCCCAAACAATGGTGCTTACAAGTATCCATGAAAATATTTACAATGCACATTTTGGGAGTTTGGCAGCACTGGGCTGTATACTAAAGACCTCATGCCGGATGAATTTGTTTGCTCAGCTGATGCTCCTTTACCACTTGATCTACACTTCTATGATTTCTTAATTTTGGAGATGGAGGAGTTCCATGACTTTTTCTGTTGGGCTGGCTTCCAACCAGAACTCTTCAGATCTCAGTCTCCTGAGTAGCTAAGATTACAGGCATGATCCACCTGTGCTCTGCTAGAATGCATATGTTTTATAGTAAATTATAAAGCATTCGAAGGAAATGGAAATTATCACTGCTCTTTTACCAATGTTCAATTGTACAAATATTTATTAGTGCTTCATAGTCAAGTTAATGCAAACCTTTGTTCTCTTGACCAGTGACATTCAATTCTTAAGTGGGACACTTACAGCTCATTTCAAGTCTGATGAAGTCTTTCATGCCAAGGTTTTCTAGAAAAACTCCTGATAAAGCAGTGGTTTTAAAAAAGAAGGAAATATCAGCACTGAACTCCGCATGGAAGGTAGGAAAGTGGAGATAAGAGGCTTCAGTGTAAAATGAGACAGCATTCCAGAAGTGTCCTGCAAGTGAGAAAAATCCTTCAGCATGGTTTGCTGTTTTCAATGGGGTATGGGAAGCACTGGGCAGGTGGATAATTGTTAAGACATTCTGCAGGGGAAAGGGATAAGAGAATAAAAGCATCTTATGTTGGTGGAATGCAGAGAGAAAGCTTCTTTCAGTTTAGTACTCACGGTCACCATAGCAACGTAAGGGACCAATTCTCCAAGCAGCTTCTGAATTTGATCTGTTGGTATCAGTGATGACAATCTGAGTGACAGGCAAGTGGTCTTTGAATGAAAGAAAGCCAGTATCACTTGTCCTGTAAAAACATAAATTAAAAAAAGAAGACAACACACGGTTAATCTATAAACTCAATGCAGAGGCTTCTCTTCTTTAAAGTGATTTGGGTTGGTTGCCTCCAGGCTGGTATGGACAGGAACATCTTTCATCTCAGGAGTGTATATAAGATACTGACATGCCAATTACAAAACCCATGGATGTCTTCCAAACACCATTAAATTTTACATCTTCCCCAACTGTGTTTGCAGACGCATAGATGGTGTACAGAGATTGCCTCTGCTTATCGTGGCTAAGAGAATTCCACCTGCCCAATGCAGTGCTAATGGGACTTTAATCATCACCTCATGTTCTTTTGAAAAATGGTCTATCTCAGTAACTAACTTGAAATAGATATCATATGTCCTTCTCAACAATCACACCAAAGGCTGTTTCAGCCACCTGCCAACAGGTTTTAATAAGCTTTGTATGGTTCTTATCACCTTTTACCTCATGCAATTACAAGTCTTTGTAGTGTCTGGTTGCTTTCCTATTTTGGTCTTCTTTTTAAATTTCCTTGTTGTTAATGATTCTGGCTTTATTCTCATTAATTATGCAAATAAGAAATTGACTGGTTACCTTTTGATAAGGAAGTTTAAAAAGAATAGAGCTAAAATTTTATCTTCTGGGTTTTTTTTTCATGGTGATGACTAGATCTTTGATAAAGGAAAAATCAGAAGGAAGAAACTAGCATTGAATGTGCAAGTATTTTTAGTCTTTTTTTAAATTTTTAGTCTTAAATACCATAGGAGGATATATTTTTTCCACACAATACTCCTATGCAGTAGGTACCACTATCCACATTTACAAATAGAGAAATAAGCGTAGAGATAGTAGGTCACTTGACTAAGTTTAAATAGCAAAAGGTGAAAGAAGTTGTATTTTGAATTAAGTTGCATCTTTCTCACATACCAATAGTCTGGGCAAATAATTTCATTTCTGAAATTTTCAATGTGTTTAATTCTTGATGTTGTTGCTGTTGTTTTTGTCTTGTTTCACCATATAACTCAGGCTGGCCTAGAACTCACTATAATAGCCCACTGAAGGCCTGGGATCACAGGCATGCACAATCATTTCCAGCTAGTGAGTTCAGTTTTTAAATGGAGCCATATCTGCATAGCAGCACATACAGGATTAAATGAGATAATAGTGTCTGGGACCATGTTGCTTATTCTATATTAAATACTCAGAAATGATGGAGGTGATGGAGGTGACAGAGAACCCTCTATTTCATTCTTGAAGTACTCTGGGCCCTCAGGCAAAATAACTTACATTTTAGGCATCGATGATTCTATATTGGAGAGCTCTTACAACACAGCACATGTGGAAAATTAAATTTTAAGATTTAGTATTGAACTCATGAGATCTGGATAAAAACACTTATTAATTTATCTTGGTTATAAATAAATCAAATATTCACCTACATATTCTCTCCTTCCAGGCTATTAGCCAAAAATGTGGGAAAATGCATTATACAATATCTATCATTAGAGAGACATAATTAGAAGCTATTCAAATGGCCTAGAATAATAATGCCTTGTTTCAGTTTGAGGGCACATCTATAAGTGTTGCATAAACACAGAAGAAACTTCCCATTAAATTCCAATTGCTTTTCAGGAAGAGATTTTAAAGCAGATTTCAAATACTGTAAGTGGAAAGAGGGCTAAATCTCAATGCTTTGCTGAAGAAACTCTTCAAAGCTATAGGATGCTGTTTCTTTCTATTTTTATCTTCAGGGTGAAAATTGTGGATTCTGAATTTATCCACTGTTGTGATGTCTGTCTCTCTTACACACTAAGGCATCTTGTCTACATCAATTTGCTGTTCTTGGGTCAAATTGTGGCACCTACAAATAGCACTCTAAGAATAAAATCTCTTCCAAATGATAGAGGAAAAAAATAGCATTTAGTTTGATCTGGTAACACACATTACCAAGAACACATTTTTATCTGAAAACTTAAGAACAAATCCTCAGTTGCTCTCCAAATTTGTTTAAAGCATCAGAAATAGATACAACTCCTATAGAAGCCTGGGAAGTAAAAAAAAAATCTAAGCTTGTATTAGATATGATATTTATGAATGGAAACACTACAAAGTAACCCTTTTCTTTGTACAACTAATATATGCCAATAAATTTTCATAATAAAAATTTTAATGAAAAAAAACAAACAAATAGAAGATAGCATCCATTTTCAATGTCAGGGATGAAGCTGTGAAACAGAGAAAAAGTTAGTGTTTTTGTGTTTTTCCTTTTGGGTAGGGCTGTGATATCCACTTGAAATAGTTAATCATGCAAAATATTAATATAAGTCCAATGGACCAGACCGGGGAACCAAGTGGATTGGAGCGGTGAGAACGACAGCTGTGCTTCCTTGGTTGGTGAGGGAATAGAGCCTCAAAGCAGGGCATTCTTGCTGCATGGACAAACTTTCCAGCAGCTGATCCCATCCCTGAGTGTTAACCAATCCTCAGTAGTGTTGCACACTACACCTTATCCCACTTGGCTGGTGCCCAATCTCCTAGTCCCAGGTGAGGACTATTTCCTCATGAACATAGTTCAGGGATTCCTGCAGCATTGACTTTCTCTATTTCTTGCAATCCAGCCCACCAAGAACAGGGCACACACAAGGTGGCCCATTACATTACAAAGAAAGCAAAGAAGGCTAGAGCCCTCCTAGAAGATAGCTTCATCAAGGCAGCATCTCATGTAGCTACCTAGAATATAGGCAGCCAGTTAACCAGAGAAGTTAAAGCCCATGGCCTAGTGATCCCTTTTCCCAGATATCCAGAATACACTAGTTTAACCAAAGTCCCTCGGGTGAGAAAGAAAGGCCCTGCAGATGCATTTGATAAAAAAAAAAACAGTAAACAGAAAAAAAAAACAAGCAAACATCTTTTTCTTTTTCTCACTGGAAAATTTTGTGAGATTTTATAAAAAGATTTAAACATCTTCACAGAATTTTTTTTAATTTGTTCAAACAATACTGTGTTCACGAGATTCATGTAACTCAACAAACCCCTTGACAGGTCAACACTTAAACTATAGGCAGTTGAGCTACCTGTGGAAAATGGCATAATTTTTTACATACTGTTAGGGAAACACTGAAAATACAGTTAGGTTTAATTCTATTAATAAATAACATGTATGATTCCAAAAAAAAACAATAAAATGATGGTTGGGAGACTGGTGTCTCACATCTGTAATTCTAGCTACTCAGGAATCGGAGATCTATGGATCTCCATTTGAAGCCAGCCTAGGCACAAAAAGTCGGTAGGACTCTTATCCCAAAATAACCACCAAATATATGCAAGTGGAGATATGGCTCAAGTGGTAGAGCACTAGCCTTAAGCAAAAAAAAGCTAAATAAATATGAGAGAGTAGAGTTCAAGCCCAGTACTGGCAGAAAGGAAAGAAAGAATGAAAGAACAAAGGAAAGCAAGCAAGCAAGAAAGCAAGCAAGCAAGCAAGCAAGCAAGCAAGCAAGCAAGAAAGAAAGAAAGAAAGAAAGAAAGAAAGAAAGAAAGAAAGAAAGAAAGAAAGAAAGAAAGAAAGAAAGAAAACCTAACATGTAAGACACTGGAGTAATCTTGATGGCCTTTTTGGTGTGTTTTAGTAAATATAAAATAGTGGCAGATATGGCAGTAATTATTGATCAGCAGAGAATCTTTGCCTATAGATTAAGTTTTCTTCACTCTTCCTTTGGAAGACTCTGTAAGACTTTGTAACACTATCATGGATAGATGATTTTTGTCATAGTAAAAAAAGTATATCCACTGGACAAGAATGGCATGAGTTGAATTCAATGTCTCAATCTTCCAACTAGATAGTATCACTGAGGTTACTCTTGGTCAGTTTTCTAAGCTTTTCAAAGAGAATAATAATCATAAGAGGATAATGCTGTATATGTGAATGCACATAGTAGATAGGAAGTATTGCACTGATGAACACATAAGAGGATTTTAGTCAATAATAATTGAAGTTTTATTGTTCCAGTACTGTTTAAATATAAAGTACTAATGCCAATGAAGGGAATCCATGTAAAGGAATTTTATTGTTAGAAAGACTGACCAGAGTTCCCAACTGAGGTTTTATATAGAGGAACAGACACCTAGCTTTCTAGAAATATGCATGGCCTAATGAAAGATCATGGTGTCAACCAAAAACTTACACAGTCTTTCTAATAATAGCACAGTTTTAGTCAGCATACATTTGCCTCACAGTTTAAATCTTGAGGTTTCATTAAATTTGTGGGACACAACTGAAATGGGAACTACTGATTTCCTGTAACTAACTTGGAGTAAATTACCATGAAATGCCATATGATGCTGTTAATTTGAATCTACCAATGTTAATTAACTGTTGCTCTGTAAATTATTGTGTTATATTTCATCATGGAATAGCAACACTGCAACATGGTCATCTTTAACCATACTAAACTCATCAAGATGGATAATGTGTCCTTGCCTTGAGCTGAACAAATAACATACTGCACCTATTCCAGATAATTTGAGAAAGTTACAGGAGAAACTTGAGACCTCAGATTCATTGGAAACCCTTTTGTGCATCTGAGTGACTTGACTTCCAGAGACCCCTTATGACCTTCCTTTGAGCTGAGATCATGATGCTGTCCACTTCTGTGATAGAGAAAGAGAAATCGCTGGTGGTATGTCTATAAGCCAGCTGCAAGTCAGAAATGTTGTACTGCTGTTGCCAGTTATTTTATCTTAGCTCTAAGTTTAGTAGTCAAGACTTTTCCTTTCCCTCTTTGTCCTTTCTTAGTATTTAGTTGACAAGAAGTTCAGAAGGGGTTAATGAGTAACTTGTCTGCAAAGAAAAGCAAGTACAAGAGTTGGCTGTAGTCACCCACACTAGAAACCAGCTCTATGTCTACCTTACTGTGCTCAACACCTAGCAATCCACGTCTAAAATCTGTGTTTAGATTCAGCATAGAAAGCATAAGGAAGAAGAAAGATAATTGTTTG